TGATATCACGCCGATTTATCTAATTAAATAAAAAAAAAAACCACACCCATCCATTTTGTGATCGTAATAACTTGAATTTACTGCGCAAATTTGTTTTTTTTTTTATTCTCAAATACATGGGTACATATGTATGTTTGGTTGTAGGCAAGATTAGCCTTTTAATTATGCAATGCAATGAGAATTAGCTTTTGGTTCTGCTCCATCTCTCTTTTATAATATTGTAAGCGAACGTGCAATAAGTGCATTGAGGCGTATCTCGTGTGTATGCAAATACATATGTTTATATGTACATTAGAGTGCACAGGAAAGTAAACTTTTTCGATTTTTCTTGCTGCCACAACCCCAACTATCCAAATTTAATTCTAAAATTTTACTAACTATTTTTTCAAAACGTGTAATACGGCTGGTAAAATCGCGTTGAGCAATACCACCAGCTCTATCGGAATTGCGATTTCTTTAATCTGATGTTGGATAAAAGATTTAGAACTGAACCCCTGAGGAAATATTTTTAACAAGAGCGTGCAGTTGCTGGCTTATGCCGATGACATCGACATCATAGGTAACAAAAACCGCGAAGTCTATTCTGCCTTTTCCAAGTTGGATAAGAAAGCAAAGCGATTGAGTCTGGTGGTCAACAAGGTCAAGACGAAGTATCTCCAATCATCAAACAAACATTCAGCGCCTTTGGCCCCACGTTGTTGTTGCGGCTACAACAACCCCGCCCATATCGACTAGTCCCTCAATCGTTGTCAACGGGAGACGGGAGGCGTGCAGCCTCTATACGATCCGTTCATAAGGACAGAAGCGTCGGTTGAGTGCGGTTTAGTGGGCATGCGAAGAGATTTCTCGGGTCGTGAGGCATTTCTCCGCATGCCGGGCACTCATTGGGCACATCCGCATCCAGTCTGCTCAGGTACGAGTTTAACCTGCACACACATTGCTATTTACAGTTACAATTTCAAGAAAGTAGAGACTTCGTTTACTTGGGAACCAGCATTAACACCGATAATAATAGGCGTGTTTTTTACACGCATACGTATGTATATGCGCTTAAAAATTATATGGAGCTCTAATTAAAGCGACAATCATTATGTGAACTTATGAATAGTAGCCCATAAAACCCAAATTACTTGTTTTGAAACGGAAATTGTCGATGATTGTTTTTTTACACGTTAAGCGTAGATGTATACAGAGTTGGGCAAAAATTTATTCGAAAGATGAATAACAAGTGAATGAATGTTTTTCTCGTTATTCGTAAATAATAAATAACTTTGTTTATTTAAAGAAAAATTATTCGAATGATTGATAAATTATTTTATTCGTTATTCGAATAATTAATAGGTTTGTCCTACACGAGCCCGCGAAATCCCAGCTGTTGTTGTTTAAATCCGAAAGCAAATTTTATAAAACACAAAAGTGGAAACCCACTAGGAGTATGTATTTTTATGCGCAGAATCCAAATCTGTAACAGAAATATGTATATCCCATTAAAAAATTGATGTCCGGTCAGCTTAACCCAATTCCGGTGGAAACCGGAAATCGGTAATACAACCAAAAGATAGAGCATCCTCGACTTGGTAATTCCTGTTTTTTCGTTTTCGAATAAAAATATTTTCACTGATTTAAGAAGTCCAGGACGAGCTGAAGTTCAAAGGTCATTTAGAGGTTGAAAAGGACACTTCCGAGAAAAGTTACATATTTTTATCCTAAGAATCCGAATCTGTAGTAAAAAAGTAAGTATATCTAATTTGAAAAATTAACTTCCGGTCAGTTTAACCCACTTCCGGACGAAACCGGAAGTTAACAATACCAGCAAAAGATAGAGCATCCCCGATTTAGTAGGTCAAATGTTTGCGGTTTCCCCGTATGTATATATGTATATACATATGTACATCAGTGTTGGGCAAATTTTAATTATAAGGACAGCACTGGTTTACAGCAAAAATGTTCTCCAGATGCCACTATCCAATTCCCAAGTAGAATTCCGAAAATCGAGATATTTTTTTTCATGGATAACTTTTCGAGATATTTGTATCAGTTTACCGTTATTCAGCTTTAAAAAATAGTGGTTTCACTTAATCACGTATATCTTACAAACCAATTGAATAATCGTAATACGAGATACGGGAAAAGAAAGAAAATAAAATTCCCCAAAAACCGTATATACATCACTTTTCGATAGCCCTGATAGTTCCTGAAAAATTAATTAATCATTTCTAACGCCTCTTGTTTTCGATTCAAACACTTAGCTTAATTTTTTTCCAAAGGAACAAACTTTAACAAAAGTGCAAAATATTTACACAAAAACTGTTATTTTTTTACTTTTTTCCCGGTTAAAGTTTGCATTTTTCCATAAAAAAAAACAAAAAATCTGGAATGATTAATTAATTTCTGAGAAACTATCAGGGCTATCGAAAAGTGATGTATATACGGTTTATAGAGAATTTCATTTACTGTACCTCGCATTACGATTATTTAATTGGTTCTTAAGTTATACTTGATAACATGGAACCACTCTTTTTTTTAAGCTGAGTAACGGTGAATTGCAAATATCTCGAAAACGTATACATACAAAAATAATTAATTAGATTTTCAAAATTTAAATTTGTAATCCAGTGCAATTAACAATTAAAATTAACAGTTGGTTAGTTGTATTTGTGGAGAAAAACAATTAACAATGAATTAATTAATTGTTAATTGTAGTGGAAAATAACAATAACACTTGATTAATTGTAGTGGTAGCAATTAAAAATTAAAAAACTGTTAATTGTGATTTTCGGAAGTTAACTAATAATTATTTTTAAATTGTTTTGTGAACTGTATTAAAAATTTACGTTTAAAGATGGACTGAGAGGTCTGTGTTAAGACATAGAGAATCTTGAATAACATTGATGAGTGATGCACTTTGCAGGGTATTGCTGGCAATCCCATCAACACAACTCTAGTCTTGTCCACGCGGAAAAGAAAATTAGAAGGTGTTAACCTTCCAGTCTACTTGGGGCAAGAGATTTTTGAATCACATTTTACACGAGCGATTTTTCTTGAGCAATGTTGAATCGCCTAGAAAATCGCTGTGAAATATCTAGTGATAGCTCCAGTGTCGAAGAACCTTTAGTATGACCTGTGGTCCGAAACCAACTGTGAATACTCTTATAATGGAATGATCCTTTCTTATATAACCAAATTTTTATGCAACGAGGACGTCGGCGGTAACAGCTTTGCGAGGCAACGTTTACTTTAATAAGCATAATTATACACTAGAATAACAGCATAGTTCCGGAAGCGGATGCATGTGGGGAAAAGTTTTGATATTTAATCACCAGGGAATGGCAAAAAGCGAATATTTTGCATTCCGTTCAAACACACCAAGTATCCTCTGGGTAGCAACCGAACACCCGTCTGGATACAACCTAGTGCGAGAAGGCAAACCCCCAGCACTCGGTAGTACTCTTTCTTATGTCCTTTTTTTCGTACATAACTACTCGCTTCTTTTATACAAAAAATACTGTATGTTGTATTTTATAAATCTTGTAATCTTTATTTCCGTAATTTGTTTCTTATAAGTAGGTTAATTAATTGCAGTGAGCAATTACAAATTTGACTGCAATTAAAATTTTAATAGCAATAATTTAATTGCAATGCACAATAAAAAGTTTAATTGAAATTAATTTAATTGTAATGTGCAAGTAATAGTTTAACAGCAATCGATTTGAGGCCTATCCTTCTGGAAGGCATTCCATGGGTAGCGAAAGAAGTATGTAGGTGTTGCTTTTAAATTCAATTAAGTCTTGCCATTCATTAAACCGTGATTCAATAATAACTATGGATTCATGTTTCTTTAGTGAGTAATCTTCCGACTTTTGCGGAGAGCTGAATTTCGAAAAAAAAAATTAGTTGGGGACTTTCTATACATATTAACATCATGCATATTAAGGTAACGATATGTAACTCAAAATTGATTACTGTTGTGCGTTTATTTTATTTTGTACTTTTGTATTGTTTTAATAAAATAGACCGAATCGCTATCGGAAATGAAAAATTCAAGGTGATGGTGATCGCGCTATGTATGTACATATATACTTGCTCATTACATGCATCGGTATGTATGTATGTACTTTAAAGCGCACCTGTTTTTTGCTTAAGTACATACATATGTTGATAATGTGGGCCTATACCAAATGTGGCTACGAAACAGACTCGACAGTTTTGTTTATATCTGGTTAACAGAAGTGATATTGAGGAAGAGATTTTTTGGCTTCTATGCTAACACTGACAATTAATAATTACATTTGCATAACGAAGGTTTCTGTATATTCAGCCAAATCTTGTATTCTTGTAACATCGCAGTCAAAAAACACGTATGCGAACTTACCGATTCGTACATACCCCTGTGACCTATAGCCATTTATTTATTTATAGTATTTTCTTTATTAATATATTTTAATAACGAATACTCTATTTTATATTCTTCTGAAATTTCAATATTTACATACCAATAGTGTAATAGCAATTCAAAAATATTTAGAATTATTTATATCTTGCTACATATGTAAATAGCTACATTATAATTATCTATTTGGTTCATACTAGGATACAGATTGGTTTGAGCCTAATAATAGCTGTTCGAAATAGAGCATGAAACACGGAAAGCAACGTTCCCGCGGCAGTCGGGTCTACGTAACCGGAACGACCCAGACTTATGTATGTACATAAATCTGACCAAGGACTGCCACTCAAACATCATTCCGCAAAAACTCTTTGGGGGTGTGTATGCTGCTAAAACGACAACACTGAAACAGAATTTTTATCGTAATTACGAACTAATGAATAGCAAATTTCAATTCAATAACTTGATTGCTAATTATTTTCTACAACAAAAATTGTTCATACTATGCTCTTTTTCGGCTTACATAATTGCTTAAATAATTCTTCCTACTCCATAAATAACTTTTCTTTTGACTTCCATCTTTGCTTCATAGTCACGAAAATGAACTACTTACTCTTTGGGAACGGAGAGGTATTGAAATAATTCGTCCACCGATCCGGCTACGCGCTTCCAGAATAAGAAAGTCATTACAGCCATTATGGATAAAATGATTTGCTGCCGAAAGTCCTGCCATGCCTGCACCAATGATTAGCACCTTCACCTTCAAAGGCAGCTGTTGTTGCTTCGTAGTAGCCTCGCTGCTTATGGAAGCACTCGTACTTTCTGCCTCTTCGGTAATTGGCGAAGGAGTAGGTGCAGTTTCACCCATTTTCCACAAATTACACTATGACCCACCAATTTCCAAAACACGCACTTCTTTTTAGCACATCTATGAACAATAGCTGTTTAGTTTCCTAAGTTTTGGATTTTTTCTCCAACCGGAGTCACATTCGCAATTTTCTGCGATTTTTTTATCGATCTAATTTGAATGCTTATTGGATGACAACTCAAACGTCAAAATATCCACATTTTCTTATTATTCTTTCTTGTCTTCGCCCTCTACTCGTCAGCTGATTGCAAGGCGTATTCAATAAGGTGGTATCGGTACGACCATGATAAAAACATTACAAGGTAAATTCATTCTCTCAATTCGTCGGCCATGATTTTGTTCTGACGTTTGCCAACAGTTAAAAATCATATAAAATTGAAAATAAAAAAATTAAATTGTTCACAATTGTTGTTGTTTGAGATTGAAAATGAGAATGTGTGTGTGGGTTTGAGTTTTGATTTTAAAATTATATTGTTGGCAAACGTCAGACTACCTCTCAATGGTTTTATAGGCTGTTTTTGCTTACGCGTAAAAGCACATTTAGCGCATTTAGCTCTAAATGCTACTCTAAATGTACATTTATCCATACAAAATTCGTCACCTAAATGCAACTAAATGCAACTCCATTTTTGCATTAAGAATCTAAATGCTAAAAGCAACCCTGTGATCTTCCAAAATTTCCACGATTCGAACATGGTTTAAAGAGAAAAAGTGGCCACATTGCTTTTTCGAGTATACAGTTGCTTGCTGCGTTTCAGTGATCGCCGATCGAGATTTCTTTTATTTTGCATTACATATTTGGATAAAGTAAAGTTAAGCAAATTCCACATCGATTTGATGCCGATAGAAATCTGGATCAATTTGTGATCAACTCTGTTTGGTTTGTTTCCTAATTAAGTGAGGAAATTTTAATTGACAGCACCGACAAATGAATATATACACAAACAAATGTTCGGTTATGGTTAAAACAATTCAAGTTTTTGTATTGAATTTTTGGTTTAAAATTTATTTTTTCCTTTCCAGTAGGGTTTTTGCACATTATCTTCTGCGTGAGAATTGATCGTAATATATACGCATCTAAATAAGAGACTGGTACACGGCTGTTTGTCAAAAGCATTCGATTTCGAACTCGCGTAAATGTACATTTGCTAAATGCTATAGCATGAACGCTCTTCGAAAACATATGTTCGAAAGTGCTAAATGTTGCATTTTAAATGCAGCAAAAACGCTACATTACCTTGTTATGTTTTTATCATGGGTACGACAATAACAAAATGCATGATAGAGTTGTCAAACTATCAATGGCACTATCGATATATCGATAGTTTAAATTTTTTTTAGACTATCAATACTCATTGATAGTTTTTTCTTATACTATCAAAAATATCGATAGTTTAGTAGGACTATCGAACTATTGTTGGCAATACCTAAATTTTTTAATTTGAATTAAAAATTTTGTTTTTTAGTGTGATGCCGACGTCATATTCAAATATGCACGCATTTAGGCCAACATACATACATGTGTTAATCGTAAATCCTGTTTTGTTTGTATAACTTGTGTTTGTTTTTAACCTTTCTAAAAAGAGAAGTTACTTAATTTTGAATGATTATAACTTTTATAAAATAATATTTATTTCACTATGATCCTGTAAAAACAAAGCAACCTAACTGATTTAGCGCTATCGATAGTTTTGTTTTTTCGAGACTATCGTGAATATTGATAGTTTTTCTGAAAACTATCAAAACTATCGATGGTGTGACTATCGATAGTTTGACACCTCTAATGCATGATGCAATAATACAACATGAACCAAAAATACAAGATCACGCGGGCAGGAGAGTAGCCCGTTACAATCGTATTTAGGAAAAAAGTTTAACGATTTTGACCATGAACCAAAAATACAAGATCACGCCTTCTTCTTAGTAGCCCGTTATAATCGCATTTAGGAAAAAAGATGGGCGACTTTGACATTAGCCGTTTGTTTACATTTGTTCGTTGTTTACAATTTGGTGGTGGCTTTCTACTGCAATTTTCTTAATTTTCGCTTGTGGCAACGTGTGTACACATAAAGTAAAGAATAATTTAACACAACGGCGTGATTTATAGAAGAATTTGCATAATAAAAATGATTATTCATGCGCTCAACAGTTTCGCGGTTTTCTCCGTTCTCTTCGATGTTTTCTTCTTACAACAAAGATGGCGTCGAGGTTTCGGCAGCTAGAAAATAACTCTTCTTTCTTTCCTTCCCGCGTGATTTTGTGTCTTTCGTTCATGGTGTTATTCAGCGTTTTTGCTGCATTTAAAATGCAACATTTAGCACTTTCGAACATATGTTTTCGAAGAGCGTTCATGCAATCGCATTTAGCAAATGTAAATTTAGGCGAGTTCGAAATCGTATGCTTTTGACAAACAGCTAGGGACACGAATTTCGATACGATACGATACCATATCGATACTTTCGGTTCGATATCGTGTCCCTACAAACAGCCGTGCTCCAGTCGTTTATTCAGATCCGTATCTATTACGATTAATTCTCACGTAGAAGAAAATAAGCAAAAAACCCGACTGAAAAGGAAAAAATAAATTTTAAACCAAAAATTCAATACAAATACTTGAATTGTTTTAACCATAACCGAACATTTGTTTGTGTCCACACAAACATTTGTTTTGTCCATGCTGTCAAATAAAATTTCCTCTTAGGAAACAAAACAAACAGAGTTGATCACAAATTGATCCAGATTTCAATCAGTATCACTTCGATGTTGAATTTGCGTAACTTTTCTTTATCTAAATAATGTAAAATAATAAATGAAATCTCGATCTGCGATTACTGAAACGCAGCTAGCCACTGTATATGCGAAAAGGCAATGTTGCCACTTTTTCTCATTAAACCATGTTCGAATCGTGGAAATTTTAGGTCACAGGGTTGCTTTTAGCATTTAGATTTTTAATGGAGTTGCATTTAGTTGCATTTAGGTGACGAATTTCGTATGGATAAATGTACATTTAGAGTACCATTTAGAGCTAAATGCGCTAAATGTGCTTTTACGCGTAAGCAAAAACAGCCCATAAGTTCGATTCTTGCGGAGCGGAATGTGGGAACGTAATCGAAATGCAGAATAGGGCTGATTATTTCTTCAAGCAGTTAATAGGAGTGTACTCGTACGCCCAACTATCTAAAGTTTTAGAAACCTTTTACTGGTTTTGCGTTCTCGTACCCAAAAAACTTGCAAAGCAGGGGAAATTGAGAGAGCAAAATGTGAAAGAGAGCTGCAAATTTTAGCTGGAAAAATTTTCAGTACATACTAAGTAATAACAAAATAATATTACATTTCAGTCCCCAACTACATAAAATCAAAGAACGTAGATAACAAGAAGGGACAACTCGTTATAATTGTAGCGAAAGTGCGCAACAGGGGCATGCCTTCTTTTTTCATCCAATCAAAAAACGTACTAGAGCAAAAGAGAAGGCACGTCCCTGTTGCTCACTTTCGGTACAATTAAAACAAGTTGTCCCTTCTTGTTATCTACGTTTTTTGATAAAACCATAGATTCATTACATAAAAAACTGGGAAATTGTCGATTGACGTAAGTTTTATTTTTAATTTTTTTCAGTGTCAGTACCTTTTTCATCAATATTTTTAACGTTTTTATCAGTAACAAAATCCAACCAGAAATCCAAGTTTTCAGTCCATGTATTTACTATTATTTATTGTTATAAATTCATTAGAATTGGAATTGGATTCTCCAAGGGTTTCTGATAATTCAAATAACGAACCTAAACCATTGCGCAAACCTAACTAAATGTGTGCATAAAAATCACATTTTATTTTATTTTTCCATTTAGTAGTCCGCATATGAGGAGTTCGCGTCCGCTCAACGGAGGTTTTTGTTTGATTTTTTATGAAAATAAATCTTAACGTCCGTTGATAAGAGGTTCGCGTTCACTCAATGGAGGGTTTTGTGTAAATTTTATGCATTAAAATTTTTACAGTGTATGAAAAAAATTACTTTTTAACACTGTTAATTTTTTCTTTTTGTCCGCTTTCATAGCTTCTGACAGTTTGTTGACAAAACAAAACAGAATAAAAACAATTAATTAATTAAAATTTTTACAGTGTATGAAAAAAATTACTTTTTAACACTGTTAATTTTTTCTTTTTGTCCGCTTTTATAGCTTCTGACAGTTCCTGGACAAAACAAAACAGAACAAAAACAAACCATCGTCAGCCGTGAAAAGTAATTGGGACATTGTTTCTGGGCAGGCAAAATCTGGGGAAAATGTCTAGGACAAAGGATGATGTTGGTCTAGTTAGCCCCATAAAAAAACTGCGATTTCGAGGTGAGTTAAATTTTCAGAATCGAATTGATGAAATATTCGATGATGAGCACAAACGTAGCACTGGGGGGAGCTATGCTAAGGGAACTAATACAAAACAAAACGATGAGGACAAAGAGCACAGGAAAAAAGGTGAGTGGGCGTTGGTAGTGATCGATGCAAACAAGTGGCATACCTAATGTTTTGAATTTGGTGCGGTTTATTCCTGTCCACAGAAGAATCACCATCGTTCATGGACTTCTTCAAGGTCGAATTGACCCGAGGTTATATTTTGGAGCACGATGAGGAGCGCTATACAGCACGCCGTCAAAAAATATATTCTTTCATGCGTATACCGCGGGACCTGGAACGTTTCATCGTCTATGGTATAATGCAATGTGCTGATTCCTTCCTGTACATTCACACCTTCCTTCCTGTACGCTTTACTTTGGCTATGTGGGGCCTATTGTCACGTCCCATTGCCAGTTGCTTGGGCTTGCGAAGGCGCACACAACGTTTATTAACACCAGCGGAAATCTGCGATTTATTGAAGGGTACAATATGGATTGCATGCACTCTCTTAATGCTTTCTGTTGATACGAATCGCGTTTACCATATCATTAAGTCTCAATCTATTATAAAACTATACATTTTTTATAATATGATTGAGGTTGGGGATCGTTTGTTATCCGCTTTTGGTCAGGATACTATTGATGCACTTTTTTGGACAGCAACTGAACCGAAAAATTCAAAAAGAGAGCATTTCGGGCTAGTTACGCATATTGTATTTGCTCTTATCTACGTGCTGCTGCACAGCTTCTTAATTATGTTTCAGGTAAAAATCAATTATCCTATTCCCTAAAATACTTGCGCTTAAGATATGAACATAAGTTCTAACATTTTCTAGGCGACTACTTTGAATGTAGCTGTGAATTCAAACAATAAAGGGCTATTGACAATAATGATTTCCAACAATTTCGTCGAGTTAAAAGGATCAGTGTTTAAGAAATTTGACAAAAATAATCTCTTTCAATTGACATGTAGTGATGTTCGGGAACGTTTTCATCTCGCAGTTTTGCTGTTCATCGTAATGATACAAACAATGAAAGAATTCGACTGGAGTCTGAATCAGTTTTGTGTAATGGTGCCCGATTGCATTGCTGTTTTAGTCACTGAGGTATTAATCGACTGGATTAAACATGCTTTCATTACTCGCTTCAACGAGATACCCGAGTACATTTATCGAGAATATACTACCAGCTTAGCTTATGACATGACCCAAACTCGTCAAAAGCATGCATTTTCGGATCATTCAGACTTGGTGGCACGGCGTATGGGTTTCATTCCGTTTCCCCTGGGTGTGGTGTTGATAAAAGCTATCTATTCGGCAGTATCTTTCAATAACTTCGCCGCGTGGATACTTTTTGGATTAGCTTACATGTTCGTATTGGGCCTGCGCATTTGTTTGACTATCTGTGCCTTAGGAAAAGCGTGTAAATTAATGAAAGAACATCAAGATGAAAAGAATAATTCAACTCCAAGCTCCGTAACAAATGCTCCCACTGTTGGAAGTAGCAGTGCTTTTGGTAATGTAAATAGCGTGGGTAGCATGGCTGGATTCTCAACATTATCCAGCACTTCAGGTTCTTCACGATCACGTGCAGAAACTGCAACATCACCTACACTTCCGACGCATAGTCTCCAGAGATCGGTAACTGTAGAAAAATGCGTCTTCGCGCCAACATCAAACAATTCGACCTCCACGCCAAAAAATCTAAAATTAATAGAAAACCCCTCAGCAATTGACTTAAATCCAAATGATGTAGAGTTGGATGTAAAGAATTCACTTGAGTTAGGTGCAACCGCTCTGTTTTCTAACAGTGACGTAGACTTGGATGATGTGTGCCTTAATGAGAAAGTATTGGATCAAAATGCTAATACTAATGCTTTCGTCGAGGAGGAGTTGGCACGCAGTGAACCTGAACTTTTCCAACCTCAACAACGAGTTGACCGTCCAGCTGGTGATGCTTCATCAAAGGCTGGTACTCAGCTAGAACGTCCGTGTGGTGTGCCGAAACGTATACATAAACGCTCGGAGTCGGAGCCAAGCATGCAAAGCATTGTAGGCGTCAGCGAGAGTGAATCGCTGGCGTAGTGTTGGTGCAGTTAGTTTAATTGTTTAAACTTTCGTATTGAATATGGTGATGTCCTATGCGTTGTATTTATTTTGGTTATTTGTATTATCTTAATTTTTATGCTTATTTGCTAATTCAGTACGAAAATATTGGTTGCTAGTTTTAATTTGCAGATTACATTTTTAATAGTAAGAAAGAAAAAGACCATTAGCAGTTAAATATTTTAAAAGTTTATTGATTTATTAAAAACAACTTAAGTTAGTGCTTACATTTTATATTTATATACATATGTATATTTGTATTTATTGGACTCGAAACGTTTCCCTTAACGAAAGAAGTGCTAACAAAATTGAACACACGTTATAGAGATATTTTGTGGATAAATGTACATTTATATTAGCAATGCCTTAAAATTCTTAAATAAGTTTTCTATTCAAAAGAACATAACTATACAGCAACTTTTCGTCAAGGGAGGTGCCAAGGGTGGTACATATACACATACATACATATAACTAAATTTAATGGCCTTTAATAAATTGAATTTTGAAATCGGATAACTATTTCCAATAATTGCTATTTAGTACACTAACTTTTTTTCAGAAAACTGTTATATTTTATAGCGCCTAAGTAGCGGGGCTTACACGATCCCACATGTGTGACCACATGGTGTGATAGTTATCGATGTTCGATCGGATAAACGCTGAAACAACCGCTTGACGCACATGTTCGCTGATTTACAAAAAAATATATTTTTTTCAGTTATGCTCGCCTCAAACCATGCTGCCACACATAGTGGATCGTTAAACCCCGCCGTTTCGACGGACTGGATACCCACAATAGCCGGTTCTACGTACCGGAATGACTCGCGTTTTACCCGATCAGGGCATGTTTCGGTTGTTATTGTTGTTGTAGCGGCTACCAAGCCCCGATCGGATCGGTTCATCCATCAGCGTTGTCGTCAATTTCAGCTAGGGGGAGGCCCAGGAAATGTGCGACTTCCACAGGGGCTGTCCATAGGGACAGGGGCGTCAGCCGAGTGGCATGTGAAGAGGTGCCGGGAGTCATGTGGCGACTCTCCACATCCCGGGCATGGTTGGCCACATCCTCGTTGATTCTGCTTAAGTAAGAGTTTAGCCTGCTGCAATAGCCAGAGCGAAGTTGGGCTATTGTAGTGCGGGTCTCCCGAGACAGACAAAGTTCTGTCCCGTCCACGTCCGGTGGTTGTGTGCCTAGGACGGCATTCACAGGGCGGGAGTCTACATAACTTGAGACTGATTCCCAGTGAATGCCGTTCAGGGCCTGTCGGTAGGTTGACGGGTCTAGAGGTTGTTTGATTAACCTCTGGACTTCGTCCCTCATTTCGTAAAGATGCCTCCTGACGTGCCTTGGCGAGGGCTCTTCCACGAACAGCTGTCCGCTGGGATGGCCACGTCTGTCGCTCCCAGCAAGGAACTGCTTGCAGAGCGTTATGTTATGCTCCTTTATGGGAGCATCTGGGCCTCGTCATGTAGATGGTGTTGGGGCGTCATCAGAAGGCATCCTGTCGCTGTTCGTAATGCCGTCTTTTGGCAGGTCTGTAGCTTCATCCACCGCGTCCTGCTAGTCCCCGGCGACCATACGGGCGCTGCATAGTTTAGAACCGGCCCGCCGATTGCCTTGTATGTTGCCAACAACGTTTCCTTATCTTTGCCCCAAGTGCTGCCGGCCAGCGACTTGAGGACATTGTTGCGGCTCTGTACTTTGTTGACAATTGCGGTTGTATGCGCCGAGAAGGAGAGCAGACTGTCGAAGGTAACTCCGAGGATTTTCGGGTTATTCACCGTCGGTATTGTTACGCCATTGACGTGAATACCCAGTTGCAGTCTGACCTCCTTCGTCCAGGTGGTGAAAAGGGTTGCCGAGGATTTCGCAGGGGATAGGGCAAGGCTCCTTGCAGTTAAGAAACGAGAAAGTTCGGCGAGATAACCGTTTACTTTCGAGCACTAGTCATCAATTCCATTACCAGACGCCTTGATCGAACAATCGTCAGCATAGGAGACAATATTAACACCCTCTGGTGGTTGAGGTAGCTTTGAGATGTAATAATTAAACAGTAGCGGGGACAGGACACCACCCTGTGGTACCCCCTGTTTAATTTTACGTGGCTTGTAGTTTTGTCTCTGAAAATTACTGACGAGTGTCGACCACTCAGGTAATTCGCCGACCACCGTTTGAGTCCCTGTGGGAGTGAGGAGGCCTCTGTATCTTCTAGTAGCGTTGAATGACTGATAATGTCGAACGCCTTGAACAGGTCCAACTCTACTAGAATAGTTATCTCACAGGGGCGGTTTAAGCCACGAGTTATCTGAGCGTTTATAGGGTTAAGTGCTGTTGTTGTGCCATGCTGATGCTTCGCTGCGGTCAGGTGGTTCGTAAAATACGGAAGCAGCAGGGCCTCGAGTGTCTTCGCTACCGGGGAAAGGAGAGTTATCGGGCGATAAGACTCTCCTTTGGTTTTGTGTTTTTCAGTTTTGAAATTGGTTTTTGTTGTTTTTATTCATCTTATGCTTCATATTCAATATCATAGTAATATGAATATATGAACCATAAGATGAATAAGACTCTCTTTTGTTGGCTGGTTTCCCCGGTTTGAGCAGTGGGACCACTCTCCCCATTTTGCAGATGTCTGGAATGACGAGAGTGGCCATAGACAGGTTGAGGACCTCCGTTAGGTATGCTACTCCCGCAGGACCCAAATTTTTCAGCATCAACATGCATATGCCGTCGGGTCCAATGGCTTTGGAGGCTTTCGCCTTCCTGATGGCTACCCTTACCACACCGCTGGTGAAAACAAGAGGCGCACTCGGATTTGGCATTTTTTGTAGCCTTTTGGTCACTCGACGTTTGGCGTTATGAACCGGAGGATGCAGAATGAACTGCCGGCTAAAATAGCTCGCGCATCGCTCCGGGTCCGACGAAGCGTGGTCACCAAAGTCTACCTCGACTCTGTCGTCACTCTTCGTCGGGTTGGACAACGATCTCACGGTTGACCCAGGCTTGCTCACACCAGAGGCGAAGTTACAGGTCTTCAAATGCTCTTCCCATTTCTTCCGCTTATGTACGTTCACAAGTTGCCGAATCTCCGAATTGAGATTCATGATACCGGGATTTCCGGGATCGGCCTGACGAAGGTTGTCGCACTCATCGGCTAGAACAGCCGCTTCAGCAGGAAAGTTCGGACGTGGATCCTTAATACATCCTACTGGGATGAAGCGAGCTGCTGCAGCTGCAGTAACATCCGTGAAGCTTTTCCAGTCAGCTTTGGAAAAGTTGACATAATTCCGGTGATCCACGGAAGCAAAGTCGGCAGGTTTATCAATCGAGATGACCATGGGCAGATGGTCTGATGCTAGGGTCAGCATAGGTCGCCATGATACGCTGTTTATCAGACCAGCGCTGACAATTGTTAGATCTGGCGAGCTGCAGCAGCTGCCCATAATCCTGGTGGGTGCGTCGTCGTTCATTGTGCAGAATATCGAATCGTCTATTTGCTCAGCCAGATGTATTCCCCTACGATCATTTGACAGGCTTGAGTGCCAAAGATCGTGGTGCGCGTTAAACTCACCAACTACCATACGGTTTTCACCTCTGAATAGAGCACCTATTTCAGGGTGATATCCTGCCGGGCAGCTGGTGACAGGGGGTATGTATACGTTAAATATTTCGAGCTCAACATCGCCTGACCGGATAGCAATACCCTGACATTCTAGCATGGTATCCCTGCGGTCGATGTCTGCTTCAATAAGACGATACTGCAAGGTGTGGTGCGTGTTGAACGCTAAACCTCCACCATTGTATCGCTCGCGATCTCGACGATGCACGATGTATCCGGCGCAATTCAACAGGGTTGTATTGACGGGCAACTTCGTCTCTTGGACCGCAGCTATTAATATTCCATGCCTTCCCATAAAGACAGTTATCTCATATTCGAATACTGGAAATATTTGAATTACAGTGGCAGCACCAAGGGCTGCACTTCTAAAACAACTTTCGAATTTGTGCGATAAATTTTGAATTCTACCATCTCACATGCCATCTCGGTAAGGTCCATAAAACGTTTTGATTATTCCGGCTTTTTACTAGACCCCCTACGGACATGTATTTCGACCCACTGAATCCAAATCTGAGGTCCGTTTGACACGTACACTAAATTATGAAAAAGCGAAAAATTAGCAAAAAAAATTTGCAATTTTCGCAATTTACTCGAAATTTCGTACGAGTCAAACAGACGGCCGCAACTTTTTTTGTGTGCTGGTGCCATTATTCCGTGAGTCGCAAATATCGGCACATTCCGAACGAAAAATGACACTGAAACGTCGAAACCGGTTTGTCTCCAAACTAGGAATGTTCGATATCGTATCGATTATTCTGAATATCGATATTTCATGTTGCGATAATCGATTTTTTGAATCGATATTACCAGGTCGATATATCGAAGACATCGATACTTTACCCGCAATATAGATATTTAAGTTGAAATTTATTTTTCATCTACAAATACTAAACTCGGTTTAACCCGCAGCTTGTGTGATTTATGTAGCACTTAAGTTTGACAAATCGCTTGCATGGTGTATACCAGGGATCTCGGGATCCCGGTGTTTTTGACGTCCCGGAAATCGTGGGATTTGCTTGCATTAATCCCGGGATCCCGAAACTTTTGAAATATCGAATTGATAGTAAGAATTTGTTTATGAATTTTGAAGTATGATTTTTGTAAAATGCCGTTTTGACTGCAATTAACAAAAATCTGGAAATTGCAGTCGGAGCCTTTTTTGAAGAAGATTTCAATGAATTTAGTCATAGCGTCGCTAATGTAAACGAAACAGAGTGTTTTAAGGAAAAGTTAGATAATTTTTTAGATCAATCTACTCAAAACTTCCTCAAATCGAAAAACTTATAACTTGACCGACGTGCTGGTAAAAGAGGTTCAAATATTTTGTTATGGAGGAGATAGGGGTCATTATCTTCAAATGGATTATGTCTACCTTTTGACAGTTCAGCCTAAAAGTGTTGATGCCGAAATATGTTTTTCATCAGTAGGTTTTGTATGTAAAAACTGCAGGTCAAGCTTAGAAGACTTCGCTTTGAATGCTTCGCTGCTCGTACGAAAACATTTTCAGTGCAATAATAACAACACCGGCAAAAAAGGGGTGTGTGTTTTTAACCAGACCCAACTACCAACATGTATTTCGACCAGCTGAATTCGACTCTGAGATCCGTTTGACTCGTACACCCTCAAAATTTCTAGTAAATTGCGAAAAAATGGCAAAAAATTCTCCATTCGCCATTTCCTTATAGAGTAGAATAAACATGTTTAGAGAAATTGTTTTTGTATATTTTTGTTTTATTAATCGTCACTTTCAAAAGTACCTGGTATTTACATTATTATTTGTGATGTATACGTTCCTCAATCACATGGTTTTTTAAATACAATTAAAAAAATGTTTTACTTTAAAATTTCTCTGATTTAATAAATATCGCTAGCGTAGAGTGCAAAGTTGCTAAGTCCCAGTTT